AAATATTTTTAATAAATAATTAATTTAATATGGCGTTTCGTGTTATTTAAGTTATTAAGTCGAATAAAAAGTAATTTTATATCTCGTTATAAATATCATTTGCAGGAAATATTTGAAACAATCAATGTCTTCGCTACATGTGTCTTTTCTAAGAGGTTATGTTTTCCTGCGTATTTTAGACCGCCTGTTTGTTACATTATATTCATTAATTTTTAATTTTCAATTTTCTCTCAACATCTTCGCTACATGTGTTTTTTCTAAGGAAGTATTTGAAGCGAATCACTTCGCTCAAATACCACACAACATGTGTTTTTCTAAGAGGTTATGTTTCCCCCCGCGTTTGTTACATTGTATTCAGTAACTTTTATTTCGCGAGATTGTCAATTGCGATGAGATTTCTCGACACAAAGAGAGAGAAAGAGAGAGAGAGAAACGTCAGTTTCGCGTTATTTGAATTATTATGTCAAGTAAAAAGAAGCAATTTCGTATTTCGCGGGTAAATGCCATTAACAGCAACTATTTGAAACTTAATATTTTCACTCAATATCTTCTCTACATGTGTTTGCCTGTATATTTTAACAACTAGCATTTATTAATGTGTTTAATATTTTTTTTTTATTCCCAAGAAGCAAACACAAATGAACCATAAATATATGCTTCATATGGAAGCGCGCGTGTCAAAATTGCTTTGCGAAGATCTCGAGACCGTCGGTGGTCTGTCGAATTATTGGAGCAAAAGAGATTTTCAACTATGCTTCCTATCGGTAAGAATAATAATAATAATTCGTAGATACGAATCTGTGGATGATCCCTGGTACCAGGCTTCCTCGCGCAGGCTTGTTTTCCGTATTTATGGGGTGACGGTTAACGTCCTCCCTCCGGGATCCGTGTCCTAACACGCGCGATCAGCCGGCGGGACAAAGCGTCCGACAGGATTATGTCACACGGTCTGGCACGTTGGTCCAGCCTCTGGAAGCAGGATTCGTTTTTCGTGGCTCGGCGAGGCTCGTGAATGATCGCAAATTGCTCGGACAATTTTCTACGGGGGATGATCGATCTTCCTGTTCGCAGGCATACGCGGCCCACGTCGGATGGGATTACCGGGGAAAGAAACACGGATTCCCCGGGTCCTTTTCAGCTCGTTGCCACGGAAAACCTCCACGTACTTTTTTACGTTCTCGTGGTTCCAAAGAATCGCGAGATTCGAACCCAACAACTGTCCCTCCCTCGAAGATTGAAGAAAACTCGCTGACGGAAATGAATTTTTAATCGAACGACGAAACACACCGGTGTGAGGGGGGGAAGGGGGGGGGAGAGGAGGAAAAGACGACTTAAATCCTTGTTTCATATCTGACCGTGTTTGCGAGTGGAATCTGCCGAAAAGCGAGTCGGAAGCTCGGGCTGGAAGCCGAAGCGAGCCAGGCCAATTGCACACCTTCGTTGCGATCACGCCGACGGGTCTAATCAGGGCCGTCTTAGCGGCAGAG